GTAAAGTAAAAAAAACTCTAAAAAGAACTCTGGTTACACACCTTATTTAAACCATGTAAACGTTTTTGACCTTCTCTTTAAAAAGAATTGGAATCAGGAATCATTGGGAACCAGATTTGAAACTTCAGTTGAAGTTAWTGAAATTGTATGATTTGGTTGATTATGGTATTTTATCAGTTATGTATAGGGCTCATAAAAACACATTACCTTCAAACATCCAATAACTTTTTGTTAAAGAGAGTTGTTATAATCTCAAGGGGATAGAAATGTTTGTGAGACCTAAAGTTAGAACCAGTTTAAAGGAACAGAGTACTTTAGTCCAAGGTATAAGATTGTGGAATAATCTGGAAGATGGCATTAAAAAATACCCTATCAATATGTATATTTAAGAGAATGATAAAAGTTAATTTTCTGGAGAAATATGTAAATGTATGAATTGTTGTTCAAGGAGTTAAACCTTTATTATTTTTTCTTCTTTTGATTTTTGTAAACTGAAGATTAATTTTGATTGAATTTATTTATTTGAGAAAAGGGGGCAGATATAATAAGATTTGTTCTTCTTCAGCTACCTTTCATTTAATTTATGATTTGTATTTTTGTTGTTTGTTGAATTTATGTTGTTGTTTTGAAAGAAATGAATAAACCTAACTAAACTAAACTAAAACTTCAAATTCAAATGATGCCCAACCTTAACCATTATAGTTCCAAGTGCTCTGTCTTGTACAATAGGATGGTTTTATATTTTTTGCATTCAGGCCGTGCTAGTGCTAAAAAATACAAACAAACCAGTGACAGAAACACCCGAGCACATGGCCGATGATTACAGAAGGCTGATGACATCATGCCAGAGACCTGAACAGACTAGAGTGTGGAGATGGAGGTGTATGCTAGCAAGAATGATGTCAGTGGAGAAAGTTCAAGTGGATTCGAAGAAATCTATGATGACTTTTCTGCAAAGGATGAAGAAGAAAGTTGCTCAACAAGGAAGTCCTGTTCCATACATGTACAAGTCACCACAACGGCAAGAAGACACTACTCCACAGGAAGACACATCTGAACAGGGAGGCACTTCCTGGTTTGAAAACATCGACCTGTATGTGTTTACATTGGAATGAACTTTCTTCTAAAAATCAAAAGCACACTCAGTTCTCCAGAATTAATGGTTCTCCCACTTCTGGGTCAAAGTCCTCACTCTGTCTCAGACTTAGTTTTTCCCTTTTTCATCTCTGCCTCTTCTGTCTGAGAAGGTTCTGACTCCATGTCTCTGTCACTACATGCTAACTACAAAATCACAACATGCTAATCGTAATAAATCTCTCAGATCTCATCCCAACCTTGCTTTCATCTGTAGATTTTTTGGTGCTTGATAAACAACTTTGGGCCTTAGAGAGAAAGGAGGTTAGGGGTTTGCTTGTTTGTTTGGCGGGGGTGAAAACTCTGAGACTGCCCATCTTTTCAGCTGCCTTGCTCAATCTGTTGGTGGTCTCCCATGAACAGTCCCTGGCATGATGTCACTGACGTCACACCCCATATATGGAAGTGAAGGGTTGCTTCCAAAGCTGCTGAATCAGCTTGAAATCATCACAAAGACTATATTTTTAAAACCAGTTTGCTTTACTTTTTAATGTTTTCCACAGAATATAGATTTTTTTTTGTTGTTTCTATTATACTTCACTGGATAAGTAATATAATAATATGAAGGGAGATAGACATTAAGAGTTGAATTATGCAGTATTTCAAATTAAAATACTCCAAATCATCCTTACAGTTCTTGTGCTAGACTACAAAACAACAGATTGTGTGTGTTTGAACCACAGCGTCTCTGCAGGGATAAGAGTTATAATCAAACAGGCAAGGGGAGTGTGATGATGGAACAAGTACTTTGAGAAGCTAGAAAATGAAAAGAAGAACAGGGAAAGAAGAGTGGGTCATAGAAACGGTGAACCAGGAAGTGGGAAAGATTTAGTGAGGATGACGTTTGGAAAGCTTTGAAGATTAGAAGATGAAGAAGGTGTGCCGGTGGAAGTATGGACATGTCTAAGAGAGATGGTGGCAAGATTTTTGACTAGATAAGATTATAATTCCTGAGGAATGGAGGAGAAGTGTGCTGTCACCACTTTTTCAGAACAAGATGTACAGCGCTGTAGCAACTACAGGAGAATTAAGTTAATGAGCCACACGATGAAGATCTGAGAGACAGTTGTGGAAGCTAGACTTACACAAGAGGGGACTGTGAGCAGCATGGTTTCATGTCAAGACAGAGAGCCACCGACACTATTTTTGCATTTGAGGATGCTGATGGAAAAGTTCAGAGAGGGTCAGAATGAACTTTGTTGTGTCTTTGTGGATTCAGAAACAGCATTTACAGGGTTTCCTCCAGTGTATTATAGCGTATCCCTCCAGCCCTTCCTTACCCTCCCTGCCAGGTTAAGTGTAGTTTATTTAAAACCAGCAGCAGCTCTTTGTGTGTGTGTGTGTGTGTGTGTGTGTGTGTGTGTGTGTGTGTGTGTGTGTGTGTGTGTGTGTGTGTGTGT